ATCCTGCTGGATGCATTTGGTCCCGAATTTTATAACATGTACATGATTTGGGTTATGAAAGCAGGGATTTTATTTTGGAGACCAGATTTGCTCAGGGAAACCACATTTTGACCTATTTAACAATAGTAAAGTAAGTGGATTATCCTGATAATGTCCTGAACAACTTCACTTACTTTCTAAAAACTATTTTCCATTACTAGGTCAATTTATGTTGTGTCTTTCTTTCCCCACATTTTGTTTATGAATAGATCACCTAAACACAAACTGACTTCAAAACAGAGAAGCAGAATTAGAACAAATTGGTGATCTGTTGTTAATCATAGAATTGGTGAATTTTAAAATGATATGTGCTTGATCCTATGCCATAAGTAGACAACTTGTCTAGTCTCAGTAGTTTGTTCTCTATATCACTTCTGCCAATTGTATCAGCTCATCTCTCAGTCCTTGAAGGCCATCACGTAGCTAAACATTTCAGGTCATCGCTTGTTTTTTTTGTACCATCCACTAATGTTTTCTTCTGCATTAAATTAGACTACAGACATTACTATTTTACAAACATCTCCAATGTAACAATTAACAGAACAAAGATCCTGTCTCAGAAACCTGCCACATCTCCTTTGTTGTGTGTAGGCTTCATAAACAGAACAATGATAAACCACGATGACCTGCATATCTCTGGGAAAAAGAATTACATCAGGTCCGAAATGGGATAGCAGAATGTTTTTTTTTGTTTTTTTTAAAATCTGAATTGTTTTGTCTTCCCACCAGTGACTGAACCATTATAAAAGCAGCATACATTTTGAATTCATATATGTTCCTGGTTCTAAAGCATTCAGTGTCCCACTGCCATACTCTAGATTTCTGCCACTAGAGTCAACAAATTAATATTTAAAGCTCTCAAAAATTTCAATTATCTTTCCAATCAGGTGAGATTTTAACTTGTGGAAGTCTGACAAACTTGTTGATACCCAAGTGTTCCATTGTTTTTTTCACTGTTTTAGTGCCTAAAAAACACTAGATGAGAAAAAACATGTGCCATTTTAGACTTCTTGTTACTTGGCCGCATATCTAGAATTGGCTGTTTCAATAAGATAACATTCCTAAGTATTAATGTGATATAATGTGGTATTTATATGACTACAGCCAGTACTATTTTCACGGTTGAAATGATTACCTCGAATATATGATGGTCAATATTAAATCCGAGACATTATTTATGCCACAGGTAAACTATATTTACACAACTCACTCTTTATTAAATGGACTCCCATGGAGTTTAAAGGGTATTAACTTAATCACGGTCCATCAGTAGCCCTGCGTTTTACCACATTTTAGTTTAATTTTAGTTTGCTAAGAATAGCTCCTTCCACCATGTAGAACTTAATGTATTGAATGAGATTAACATTTTTATAAATCTGATGACATTGGGTCCTTATATCAGAAATGATTCCATACTAGGCTCTTTAAGACTATATTAAACAAAGATATCATTGAATTGAACTGTATTAAATATCATGTTGGTGATAAAATCCCCTCAATTTTGGGCAACTTACTAAATAGTCTCCAAATATTTTGAAATATTTTTCGTTGATATATCAGTGACTAAGCCAAATACCAAGCTTTGAGTGACAGAATTAAATTAGTATTCCTTCCATATGTCCTATATTTTCTGCCATAATTCACTCACGAAGTACATCTCCTTCATCTCTTATCTGACCAAATGCATCAAAAGCATATTTCTTTGATATTCTTTTATTACTGCCAGCTAAAATCGAGGCCCATGGAATTTTATGTTTCATAAATATAATTCCATTTATTATTGCTCAAGATTTTCTGTTAAGAATTAATTTGATGTAATGAGGGGCAACAGGATGCTAAGTCTTTGGACTATGGCATGTAAATTCCAAAGGCAGAATTAGATAAAACAGAATTTTACAGAGCATGCTATAATTAAATCATGGTAATACTTATAGTGGCTACAGTGTTATGATGCAGGCACTGTCCCTCTGTTCCATTTTCAAGGGTTTCCAGGCACCTATGGCCCTGCCCTAATTGTGTATCGCTAATAGGGAAATTCCACTTCTGCACTAGCAATATTAATTTAATCCATATTAGAATTTATTAATTAAGCCCATCTGCAGACACGTCAATAAAAGTAGTCCAAATATAACTGAAACTGATTTTTCTAAAACAGAAATGGAACTCTGCCTTAGCAATAGCCAAATAGGGGCTCTGCCATGACTTCCTTAGGGGACAATTTTTTTGGTCAAACCACTCGAATATGGTTTAACCCAAAACCAGGATATGGCACTTGCAGGTTTGAAGCACCATAACTGCTACAAAGATAATCATGCAAGTGTAAGTTTTATTCTAATTTGTACACCACATGTGTAGCAATGAAGCTGACACTGCTTGTAACGGAGCTCCCTGTACCCATGGCTGGGTACCTCTGCCCAGGAACGCTTCCTAGCTGGAACAGGGGACAAGCCACAGCATTTCTGCCCACAGTAGCCGTGGTTTGACTGGGGCCCTGGAACGGCTCCCTCCTGGAGCCTAATGGGGACACTCAGTCTTGGGAGCTCTAGTCCCTACAAGGACTTTTCCTGTTGAATCCTCCACACTGGAACAGTGATTAGTAATTAGCCCTTTCCCCTACCAGTAATCAGACAACGCTTAGTTCTGGGAGTACAAGCTGGAATGTTTTTAATCTGGCCAGACGGCCTGCTTTTATACAGTTTCAGATACAGTTGCGCACGCCCATGACACTCCCACACAAACAAGATAATCTATCTACTGGACCTGAGAGGGAACTAGTTACCAGTCCCAAACTCCTCCCCTGTGCCTGAGAGATAATTGAGTCAGAAACTGAACTAACTCAATTATCTCCACACACAAAAAAAACACAATTCACAGACATCCCAAAAATACCTCGAAAATACATTTAAAAAACAAAACAAAACTTTCATCCCCTGATAGCCCAGATCTGGGTGACCAAAACATCCAAAAACCACCCAGATCAGTTCAAGGGGTTCGGGAATTTCCTGGATGTCCTAATTTGACCGACCGCACACGAGGCTCCTGCCCAAAACAGTTCCATAAGATCAGGGTTAGCGGTTGGTGTAGTTCGGTAGTTTAAAACCAAACAATCTACCGAACATAGTCAATAGTCTTACCTTGGAGCTTGTTTCCCTTGTTCGTGGGAACGTTTCCACTGAACAGTGTCCTCCTAAGTGTTGTAGAACCGAACGCAGGCAATGCTGGTCCAGCGGTGTTCGGGAGTTTCTGAGTCCGTTTTCACTTCCATGAACTTGGCAACCAAACACCGCTGCCTGCATTCGTGAGAACAAGATGGCCACCACCTCGTGGTCATCCATAGGAAATGCGGCCACCCAGACGAACACTTTGAGCACAAAGTAGCAATTAGGCCTAACAAGCTCCTATGTGGTCTCCGGTTCGTGCGGCTGTTCGGTTCCCATATAGTCCAAGTACACGAACGTAGACTTTTACAGTACATTACATAGTCTGTGGGCAAGCAGGCTCCTCCATGAGCTCATGGCAAACTCACGTGGGAAGGGGAGTTTGTCACACTGCTCAATTAGCTTACTCTTTCAATGCACATTCTATCTTTTCATTGAGTAGTAAGTAAGTAAACTAACTGGCTGACCACTATGTGTAAATGGACACTCTAAGCACCAGAACCACTAAAGCTCTATATAATAGTTCTGGGTCAAAGAGAATGTCCCTAAAGTCTTTCAGATGTAAACTGTGCTTATTATAAGAAAAGGCAATGTTTACATTGTTTCCTAGTAACACCTCTAGGGACCCTTACTCAGATGGCCACTAGAGTCATTCACTCATTACAGTCGTGCATGAAGATGCTGAATGTAGTATTAGGACATTGTTGGCGCTGTGAACATGCAGTGTCCCAAATGTGCACACTGATAACATGCACCATGTAGTGTTCACTGCTACTCCTAGAGCAGGATTAGTTTTAATGGTTAGTAGATTGTGGCAATTTCCCTGTATGCGTCATAGGTCTACTAATGCTTATCTATGAGAAGCGTTTTAATTAAGCTATATGAAGGCATATATGCACTATAGGCACCCAGACCTCTTAATTTCAGTTAAGTCATCTGAGTGCAGTGGCACAGCCATTTTGCTCACGCAACATAAAGCAACGGTTGTATCCATTTTGGAGATACAGTAATCTTTACATTACAGGGATAAACACACCTCTAGTGGCTGTTACACTGACAGCCACTAGATGGTGCTTCCGCTGTGCATAAGGATATTGAAAGTTCAATCTTTGCTGAGTGTAGAAAAACACTTGATTGGCACATCACAGCAATTACCATGCCTATGCCTTTTGTCAGCAATGCTTCTCTATGAGAAGTATTTGACTGGATAAATGATGAAATCAGAGAGCCAGACTGGGCTGCTCTGTAGAGACTATCTTGATGCTGGATTCCAGGTGAGTAAAGCATTATTTTAATTTTTCTTTATTGAAAAGTGGGACGTGCAATTTAAAACACCTTGCTCTGCTATTTGAGCCATAGCAAAAACAAAAATTGCAGACTACAGTATATTGTTATTTTATACAACTTTAATGTATTTGCTAGATTAAGGCTTTATTAATATGCTGTAATTTACTTGCATGCTCCAATGTTTATAGTTTTTGTGCCCAAAAAAATAAATAAATGTTGAGGGCAGAGCCTGAACACAAGCTCCTTCAAGAGAGTGGAACCACAAAGCAAACAACCTTCCCCCTTCAAGACATGCAGCCTCTGATGGCAGAAATCATGAAAATATGTGACTGTGATCACTCTTGACACATTTCTCCTAGTTTCATAGTCTCTCACTTAATAGAGAACCAGCAACACAAGGAGACATTAAATTACTCCAGGAATTGAGACGTAACATACAGGGCATACAGGGACATTTAGGCATGTCTGGCAGACCCCCCAAAAGACATCCAAGATCTAGGCTCTAGGACAGGAGCCATGAAAAGCTGCATTGATGAGATCACAGAACACCATAATAACCTTACTGACCAACATGAGGCCTTTCTAAAGGAGTTCAAGTCATTAAAGGTCAAACCCACAGACCTAGAAGAAAGGTCGCATAGAAATGTCAAAATGATGGACATCTCTGAAGAAATTAAACAACAGGCCTACATCCAAGCCTTCCTCAGAGCCCTACCACCAGAAGGCTCCAACAAACCTGTAATACTGGACAGGGCACACCACCTACTCCGTTCCCCTAAATAATCAACTCACGAGATGACATCACCAGGATCCATTTTTATAAGGTTAAAGATACCATCATGAGAAGGACTATGTCACCTGGAAACTTCCTTTATCAATATTCTCACCTAAAGAATTTTGCATATCCAGCCCATTAATTTACTAATCCAAAACAATGGGGTCACATCAGCATCAAATACACCTCAAGAAGACCCTCATATTTGCATAAGGGAGATTAAAATCTCACTAATGCTCTCTATGCCGCTAGTACGGATATATCTACTAAAGAGTGAGCAGCCTTTTTTAAGCCCCAAAAAAAGGTAAATAAAAATTCATAAAACCCGTAAAACTCATAAAATACAAAAAGTCCAGATCGCAAATTATATTTTTCTCATTTACCTAAATAATTGATGTAAATAACAGTCAGCATAATTCTCATGTTATCAACTATTAAGAGTACAATTCAAATTTTATTGAACAAACCTCCTAATGATAACAGTATTTTTTAAACATAAAAAACTTACAATGCACTGTTCCAAATTATTACGCACAGTAAGTTTCAAAACACTTTATAGGTTGTAAAGAACTGAAAATTGTAATTTGTTGTGTTTGCAGCATATTTACTGAAATCAAAAGCTATTTCAATCAAACCAATAGCAACATTTTAACTTTTTAAACATTTTAACAGGTCATGTTACATTTTAACATAGGGCCCCTTATTTGATAGCAGCTTCACAAGTCTTGCATCCATTGAACTTGTGAGTTTTTGGACAGTTTCTGCTTGAATTTGTTTGCAAGATGTCAGAATAGCCTCCCAGAGCTGCTGTTTGGATGTAAACTGCCTCCCTCCCTCATAGATCTTTTGCTTGAGGATGCTCCAAAGGTTCTCAATAGGATTGAGGTCAGGGCAGGATGGAGGCCACACCATGACTTTCTCTCCTTTTATCCCCATAGCAGCCATTGATGCAGAGTTTCTTTGCAGCATGAGATGGTGCATTGTCATGCATGAAGATGATTTTATTACGGAAAGCATAGTTCTTCCTTCTGTACCAGGGAAGAAAGTTGTCAGTCAGAAACTCCACGTACTTTGCAGAGGTCATCTTTACACCTTCGGGGACCCTAAAGGGGCCGACCAGCTCTCTTCCCATGATTCTGGCCCAAAACATGACTCCACCATCGCGTTGCTGACGTCGCAGCCTTGTTGGAACAGGGTGGCTGTCCACCAACCATCCACTAGTCAATCCATCTGGACCATCGAGGGTTGCATGGCACTCATCAGTGAACAGGATTGTTTGAAAATTAGTCTTCATGTATTTTTCTGCCCAATGCAGCTGTTTCTGCTTGTGAGCATTGGTTAGTGGTGGCCGAATAGAAGGTTTATGCACAGTTGCAAGACTCTGGAGGACTCTACACCTTGATGTCCGTGGGACTCCAGAGGCACCAGCAGCTTCAAATATCTGTTTGCTGCTATGTAATGGTATTTTAGCAGCTGCTCTCTTGATTCGATGCATGGATCTGGCAGAAATCTTCCTCAATGTGCCTTTATCTGCACGAACCCGTCTGTGCTCTGAATCAGCCACAAATCTCTTAATAGTGCGATGATCACGCTTAAGTTTTCGTGAAATATCTAATGTTTTCATACCTCGTCCAAAGCATTGAACTATTTCACTCTTTTCGGCAGCAGAGAGATACTTTTTCTTCCCCATATTGTATGAAAATGGTGCTCTGCTTAATAATGTGGAACACCCTCCTTTAGTAGTTTTTCCTTAAATTGGGCTCACCTGGCAATCTAATTATCACAGGTGTCCAAAAGAGCCCTGAGACACAATGACATCCATGAGTTAAACTGAAAAACAAAATATTTAATCTTTGTGACACTTAAATAGAATTTTCATAATAATTTGGAACAGGGTGTATAGAACTAATATATAAAATAATTACAAAATGGTACATGTGTCTGCAAGATTACAACATCTTGGACAACAGATGAGGGGTGAGTGCTGGAAAGGATGCAGGACGATGGGAACTCCACTACATGGTGGAACTGCTTTCAACTTTTCCCACTGATTCAATGAGATTTTTGTTATGGTTAGCCTGACAGGGTACAAGATAACCTGCAATTCACAAATGGCACTTCTTCATATATTCCCAACATACATGACCAAACCTCAAAACCAAATGCTGTGCTATATATTTCTTAATACTAAGAAAAACATAAAAGTGACCATTCAGGAAATTGGACTTTGGGAATATAGGTCACCACACGCTTTGCACCTATCACAAAATTTGGTATTCATTAATCATAAGGGAAAAGGAGTATTCGCGCATGAACTGGGTTAGACACAACATTTTATGGCACACCAGCCATTTCTGATATCTTTCTGTTATATTCTGTTATTTTTTTGCCATTTCTATTATAATAGGCTATGTTAAATTATAGGGTATGTTATGATGACATTTACAGCACATTTTATTTGTGTATATGCTGAGTAGACATGACATCTAATAACTAAGTAATTATTTTACATTTTTGATTCAAGCCTTCCTTTGAAATCACAGATAAATTAAGAAAAACTACCATTTATCCATCATGTCCTGGTGTCATCATTGCAACTGCTTCTCTCGCTATGAGATCATTATTCTGATCATCCCTGGTCCAATTGGATGCTCCTCAAAAAGATGTATTCTATATATATTCAATAAAAGAAAATATTAGTGTATGTCTTCATCATGTTGGGTATGATGACTCAAAATGCAAAATGTAAAATCCATTACATTTTTGTAGGTCTTAATGAGAAAATGTTGTTGTATCTTTGACAACCACTAAAGGTGTGTTCATCAATGTCTCAAAGTCAAGCATTGAGCTGAACACTCAGAATTGTAGGATGACATCATCATTGTCTGCGGGCTCACGGATGTGCAGAAATCCACTGTAGTAGCCATCTTTAAAAATATATTGAATGGGGTTAGAATAAGGAATAGTGGGTGAGAATAGAACAGTGCAGGTTATAGTGTGGTATATTTAACACTTTAAGAACTAGGTGGATTAAAAATAGAAGTCATAAACTTTGAAGGGGAACAGTTACTTTTTTTTTTTAATTCTTTTTTTTTGTTGTGCAGATAATTACAGTATATTCACGGTCGCCACAACAGCGTATTTCAAGATACAATACAGTTTGACAGTGGCATGAGAATTCGCACAATGTTATGTTTTTTAGGCATGCTTAACTAGACAGAATGGTGTAGTAAGATTATCTAACATACAATGAGATAAACTGACGCTTAGTTATCAATTCTAATTTTGCTATGCTATCGTAGTCATAATGTATAAACACAGTTTGCAGTATAGCAGTAGCTAAGTGAAATAATACATATAAAAGTTAAACTATGTGTATACAAACTAGGAGACGTCATACAGCAGTTAACGTTGCTAGAGTTAGACTACGTTGTGTAGACACATTTCTATTCTCTCTAAGCATGGCAATGCCCTGCTGTGTTGCTAATTAACTGCGGTAAGGTATGGGACAAGCTTATTACATTATTGCTTTGTATGCTGCTATTCAGTCGTTTGGATGTCTATCTTCTATATGTGAGGGTAGATTGAGGTAGATTGCTAATGTTGAAACATGCTAGGGCTGCATAGTCCACAAAAACATTTGAGTAATAGCCGAGTAGGAAAGCACAGAAGCTGGGAGATGTAGCACCTTGGTTATAGACTGCCTGGGGGAAACTCGCCTTATCTCTGCATGTGTGGCTGCCGGAGAATAGTCCTTCTTAAGTTTCGTCCGCTTTGATCAGCCAATGCCAGCTCTGGATGCCTGACAGGTGGGCCATGTATCGTGGAAGGGTCGGTGTTTCTTGTTGGACATCATCTCCGCTGGGCCTTGGGGTGGCTTTCTGTCTGTGTCTTTCGCATGCTGGAAGCCATGCTGCATCTCGATTAGCCTTGTGGCCCTTAGCGTGAGTCCTTGGTTGCCGGGTTGCGTTTCGCTGGTCGGAAGGCTCTGGTGCTGCTGGGTGGTGAGTGGGTTGTGTCACGCTCTGATGTGTGAGAGTGTGAGTGTTAGTGGCCGAAAGACAAGGCGCCGTTGCCTCCCGCTTAGCTTACTGGTGTTGTCTCCTTCGGGAGGTTGCTTTGGGGGCTCTTGGTGTGTACCCACATATTTGACGTAGAGTAGCCGGTCAGATCCATGCTGCTGCTGCTTGCACCGCTAGTCTGAAGGCTCTGTTGCAGAGCCTATTGAAAAACTCTTGGGTGTGCCCAGGTGGGATGGCATGGGTACTGCTTCATCGATTTTACTGTGGGGCCTTCTGCACCAGTTTGCTATTGATTCCGGCCACGTGTGTTGAGGCCAGGCATGTCTGCCATCTTGAGCATCGCTACTTCTATGTCTCTGTGGAGTTTACCAGCGTCTGCTGCGCCGCCTGGGTTTATAGTCTCCTGTGCTGGCGGTGGATCGGGATAACCCCCACCGGTATTTGGGTGGAGGGCGGGCGATGTACAAGTGTCCCTCTTCAGCCGAGAACCGGGAGAGCGGCCGTCTCTCTGCGGCTCCCACCCGTGCAGTCCGCAGGTTGCAGTGTGGACGAATTGGCGGCAGGGAGACTTAAGTCAGGTATCCCCGGACTCAGCGTCTCCTCCTGAGCTAGAGTTTATTTGTCTGCAGCTGGCACGATCCGGTGGTCGGGCGTAGTGCCCAGAATCAGAGCTGTAGATGCGGGAGCTCTCGCCATGGACGTCTGGCTCGCTCGGCAGGTAAGCTCCGCCCCGAACAGTTACTTTTAATACAACGTTTACTTAATCCTTATATTAAGCAAGTATGTATATGTGATGTCTGACCAATAAGATTAAAATGGTGATTCACTAAAGTAAAAATATAAAGTTAATTCAAAGTGAATTTTTAAATCTAAGACCAATGTAGCAGAATTGGAAGCATAGCTGTTACAGAATGTTTTCCATTTCTGCTATTTTGACCTTAAATTTGAAAATCACTTTGAAATTCTCTTTCAATTCTCACTTCAGT